TAATCCCAGTACTTTGTGAGGCTGAGGCAAATGGATCACTTGAGCCCAGGAATTTGAAGCCAGCCTGGATAATACAGTGAGACCCAGTATCTACAAAAAAAATACAAAAATTAACTGGGCATGGTGGTTGTATGCCTATAGTCCCAGCCATTCCGGAGGCTAAGATGGGAAGATCAATTGAGCCTGGGAGGTTGAGGCTGTAGTGAGCCATGATCACGCCACTGCACTCCAGCCTGGGCAATAGAACGAGACCCTGTCTCAAAAAAAAGAATTCCTAAAATATCTTTCTAAGGTCACAACAAGAGATTAAATACATTATTGAGAGATTGAAGTTGTTGTTTCAGATTTAGATGGCATGGATTGACTTCTACTCTGAAAAGTAAGGTAATTGTCTTTCTTAAACTTCCTTCACCTTTTCTACTCTTTACCTCCTGAATTTTCTTGCTTATGGTATTTTTCCTTTCAAATTTACATCCTCCCTAACTTCTCCAGTAATTATTTAGCCTTAGTTCTATTTCTGGTTAGATTCAATGCTCACTACTACTTCTTTTTTGTTTATTTCATTGTTAAGTTTTTTTGTTTTTATGTGAGGAGGGCTTTGGAGTCTATGTTCCATAGGTTCTTTCATGTTTGAAAATGTGTTTTTTGCCTTTATATACTCAAATATAGAAATGACTGTAGATAATAATCTCTTAGAACTGTGTAGACATTTTTCCCTCTTGTCTTAATGGTATTGAATACTGTAGTGGAAAAACTAATTACACTGAAGTGATTTTCAACAAATAAAATCTACGAACTATCATCTCTTTTATGAGCTATGCTTTATGATTATTATCTGATCATGTTTTATAGTTCTTTACATATAAAGATTTACATTTTAGATGGGTTTTTAAATGATTTGTATTAAGAAATGCCAGGAAAACAAAACATAAGAATTTTGTCATTTTGTTCATGAGTCATATTTCGTTGTTAAATGAGCTTATTTCATTTTGGTAAAAGAAGCAGATTTGTTGCTTAGTTTTCTATATCTTTAATTTTCACAGCAATAAACAAATTATTTACAAGTGTATAAATGAACAAGTCCTTTGGGAGGGTACATGATTTGTTCCCACAGTTTTCCTTTAGTGAAAAAACTGATGCATGTGCTGTGATCAAAAGCCAAAAACAACGTTAAAAAAAGCATTTTAAGGCCGGGCACGGTGGCTCAAGCCTGTAATCCCAGCACTTTGGGAGGCCAAGACGAGCGGATCACGAGGTCAGGAGATCGAGATCGTCCTGGCTAAAACGGTGAAACCCCATCTCTACTAAAAAAAATACAAAAAGCTAGCTGGGCAAGGTGGCGGGCGCCTGTAGTCCCAGCTACTCGGAGGCTGAGGCAGGAGAATGACGTAAACCCGGGAGGCAGAGCTTGCAGTGAGCTGAGATCCGGCCACTGCGCTCCAGCCTGGGCAACAGAGCGAGACTCTGTCTCAAAAAAAAAAAAAAAAAAGAAAAAGGCATTTTAAAAGATTAAAAAAAACAAAAACAAGAACTGAGCCAGGAACAATGGTGTGTGCTTGTAGTCCCAGCTACTGGGGAGACTGAGGCTTAAGTATCGCTGGAAGCCAAGAGTTCAGGGCTGTGGTGTATGATGACTGTGGCTGGAAATAGCCACTGCACTCCAGTCTGGGCAACATGTCTCTAAAAAACAAAAGCAGAACTGGTGCCGTGGCTCATGCCTGTAATCCAGGTGACATGGTGGACTGGGATGCTGAGGTGAGAGGATTGCTTGAGGCTAGGAGTTTGAGACCAGACTGGACAACAAATAAATGAGTAAAATTAGCTGGGCATTGTGGCACACACTTGTAGTCCCAGCTACTCCAGAGGCTGAGGCAGCAGGATTGCTGGAGCCGGGAATTTGAGGCTGCTGTGAGCTATGATTGTGCCACTGCACCTCAGCCTGGGCAACAGAGCGACCCTATTTCTACAAAAAATTTGAAAAATAGCCAAGTGCAATAAGTAGCATGTGCCTGTAGTCCCTGCTCTTTCAGAAGCTGAGGTGGAAGGATCTTTTGAGCCCAGCAATTTGAGGCTGCAGTGATCTATGATCTTAACGCTGCACTCCAGATTGGGTGACAGAGCAAGGCACTTCTCAAAAACGAAGAAAAACAGCTGAGTCTCTCCTTAAGGGGAGACTACAACTCCTGGTATTAGCAGTTTTTATTTTCTTCTTGTAAGTGACTTTTTGTTTTCTAACTTATTGATTGAAGAATTATTTCTTTATACTTGAAATGGTTGACTTAACCAGAGTATGTCTGAATGTTAATAGTTCTTTATCAGTCTTTTCCAGTACTGTTGATGCTCCCTTTCAATCTGAGATTCTTTCTTGCTTCATGCCAGAAAAAGATGTATATATTTCCTTTTCCTTTTATTTTGTTGTTTACTTAAGTGACTCTAATTATTATTCAAATGTTGGCTTATCTTAGGTCTTGCTATGTTGCCCAGGCTGTTCTTGAACCCTTGGCCTCAAACGATCCACCCACCTTGCCCCCCAACCTTTTTTTTTTTTTTTTTTTTTTTAAGAGATAGGCTCTTGCTCTGTTACCTAGGCTGGAGTTCAGTGTCATGATCATACTTAACTGCAGCCTCAGACTCCTAGGCTCAGGGCATTCTCCTGCCTCAGCCTCCTGAGTCGCTGGGACTACAGGTGCATGCCACTGCATCTGGCTAACTTTTTAATTTTTTTGTGGAGGTAGAGTCTTGATTTGTTGCCCAGGCTGGTCTCAAAACTCCTGGCTTCAAGTGATCCTCCTGCCTTGGCCTCCCAAAGTACAGATATTATAGGTGTGAGCTGCCAGGCCTGGCTGATTTCTCTCTTTTCTTGTGGTGGAATAGTATTCAATTGTGTATACATACCACATTTTAGAAATCCATTCATCCATTGACAAACACTTAATTTGGTTCCATATCTTGGCCGTTATGAATAATGCTGCAAGAAACAGCATAAATATCTTTTTAACCTACTGATTTCATTTCCTTTGAATATATAATATACCCTGTAGTGGAATTGCTGGATCATATGGTAGTTCTGTTTTTAGTTTTTTGTGTAACCTCCATACTGTTTTCTGTAATGGCTGTACTCACTTACATTCCCATAACAGTGTGCCAGTATTCCCTTTTCTCCTTATCCCCACCAGAATTTTCCTTTTTTTGCATTTTGATAAATAGCTGTGCTAACTGGAGTGATATTATGTCTCATTGTGGTTTTGATTTGCATTTCCCTGATGATTAGTGATGTTGAGCATTTTTTCATATACTTGTTTGCCATTTGTATATCTCCTTTTGAGAAATGTCGTTTTAGATCCTTTGCCCACTTTTTAGTTAGATTGTTCGGGGTTCCTTGGCTGTTGAGTTGTTTGAGTACCTTGTGCATTCCTAGTATTAGTCCTATGTTGGATGAATAGTTTGAAGATATTTTCTCCCATTGTACAGGTTATCTCCTCATTCTGTTGATTATTTCCTTTGCTGTACAGAAGCTTTTTAGTTGACAGAAATTGTTTTCTCTGTTTTTGTTGGCTGTGATTTTATAACATTACTCATAAAATCTTTGCTTAGATCAATGTAATGGAGCTTTCCCCCTATATTTTCTTCTAGTAGTTTTATAGTTTTGGATCTTAAATTTAAGTCTTTAATCCATTTTGAGTTGATTTTTTTGTATGTTATGAAAGATGGGTGTCTAATTTCATACTTCTGCATGTGGATATCCAGTGTTCCCAGCATATTTATTGAAGAGGGTATCCTTTCCCCAGTGTATGTTCTTCTTAGCAACTTTGTTGAAAAGGAGTTAGCTATAAATACAGGAATTTATTTCTGTGCTCTCTATTCTGTCACATGGGTCTGTGTGTCTGTTTTTATATCAATATTGTGCTTTTCTTGTTACTGTCATTTTGTAATATATTTTGAAGTCAAGTAGTATAATGCCTTTAATTTTGTTCTTTTTGTTCAGTTAAGCTTTTGGCTCTTTGGGGTCTTTGGTGGTTCAATTTAAATTTTAAGATTATTTTTTCTATTTCTGTGAACAATGTCATTGGTATTTTGACAGAGATTGCATTGAATCCGTAGATTGTTTTTGGTAGTATTTATTGATACATTCTTATACACAACAACTTTGTTTGTTTTTGTTTTTTGAGACAGAGTCTCACTCTGTTACACCACCTGGAGTGCAGTGATGTGATACTGGCTCACTGCAACCTCTGCCTCCCTGGTTCAGGTGATTCTCCTGCCTTAGCTTCCCGAGTAGCTAGGATTACAGGCACACACCACCATGCCTGGCTAATTTTTTGTATTTTGGTAGAGACGGGTTTTTACCATGTTGTCCAGGCTGGTCTCGAACTCCTGACCTCAAGTGATCCACCCACCTCAGCCTCCCAGAGTGCTGGGATTAGAGGCGTGAGCCACTGTGCCTGGCCAACAAAACTTTTTTTTTTCTTTTTTTTTAGAATAACAAAAAATATTTTACTAAAACATAAGATTTACAGAAGTTTGCAAACAAACCATACAAAATGGTCACAAGCCTGTTTTGAAGGGGGGATCCACACTTGACTGCAATGTTATTAGTGAGGGCCGTGATGTTTGTTTAATGTTCCCATTTTGGTTCAAACAGTCAAGCTTGTCCATGTACAGCGTCTAAATAAAGTTAGATTTGGCTAGAGAGCATATTCTAAAGACCTGGTTAGCTGCTTTTAACCAATGCAATTAGATCACCAAAAAAGGGGGAAAGGAGCCCATAAAATTAAAATAAAACTACCTCCCCCCTCAAAAAAATAAGATAAAGAAAAACACCCACACCACTGCAGCTAACCTGACAACTACCTTCATTCACAGTGCTTTATACTTAAACCAGGATGGGGGAAATGAATAAAAGCAGGGAGGGGCCACTGCTTTTAAATGTTTCACAGCAATCCAGATGATACTTCTAGCCTCTGCTCATGCTTTATGACAGTGAATCAGGACAAGACATAGATTTGCTAATGTGCATTTAATCACCAAAGGACTGAAGATGTCTAGGCTTTTTTATTCTGTAATATTTCTAAGACTGTGTCCATTAAATGCAGACAAAAAGGAGGAAGTCTTGGCAGAACAGGAGAAGTGATGCACACTTGATGATCGGATCAATTTAAATATTATTCATGGCATATAGCCTAGTCCATGCTCTAGCTATTTCTATGGCTTGGGCTTCGTTGGTCTTCCACTGCTCCACTACATCATTTGCTAATGGATCATCTGGATTGGGAGCACTTAACAAGGCCTGGATCGGTAGCAGAACTGTCCACTTATCTTTCAAAATATCTAAATATATTCTTCCCAACTTGTCTACAATAGGATAATAAATTTTGGTCATAAAACATACTTTAGGGGCTGCCATTGGGTATTCTTCAGGAAGGAATAGCTCAAGTTTAAAAGTCCCTCCCTCAAAGGGGGAATCTTGAGGGCCAGCAGTGACCACATGAAAATAACGGGGGTTGCTCTCATCTGGTTCTACTTTGATGCCAGAAACTGGTTCTGCCAGCAAACGCTGGGTTTCCTTGATGATTCTGCGGAGCAGCCCGGCCATCTTGTCAGAACCCGAGTTCGGCCTCTGGTCTCATCTCCAGGTCTGCTCACCTCACCCCACAAAACTTTTAAAAGGCAAAAAGAAACAAGCCAGCAGATACCGAGCACAATCAAGACACTTTTTTTTGTTGTTGTTTTTTTAAGTAGAGACAGGGTCTCACTATACTGCCTGGTTTGGTCTTGAACTCCTAGGGTCAAGCATTCCTCTTGCCTCAGTCTTCCAAAGTGCTGGGATTGCAGGTGTGAGCCACTGCACCTGACCTAAACATACCACTTTTATGTGTGAGGCTCAGACCAGTCTGGAGTAACTGATGCCTTTCTCTCTCTCTTTCTGAGAATTTAAAATCCTCAGAATAGTGGAGAAATCTACCAACTCTTCTCAGTTGCTGGAGAAGAACCACCTCTGTTAATGGGAAAAAATGTGGTCTCACAAGGTGAGCATATACTGGTATAGTGTTCCATACATTGCACATCTCTGCAAATATGTTGGAGTATATAGAATCAGGTATCAGTTCCACTTTCCTTTTTAAATGACCTGCTGTCATGTGTACTGCTTATTTTTCCCTCGATATTAGAAAAATAACTTTTAGATAGTAAAATGAAGTAGTATCGCAATCTTCCCCCAATAACTAACAAAATAAACAAAATGTATGTGTGTGTAGGATGTGAGGAAACAGCCAAAAATCTATTGGTAACACCCAAACAAGCAAAGAAGAACACAAACTTTGATCTATAAACTTCAAAGAGTGGTGATAGAGGATGGAGGGTGGGGTAAGGTGAGGAATGTGTAATAGAAGAGATTCTGGTGTAGTATATAGCAGAGCTGCTAACCCACACATACTTTCATCCATCAGGAAGAGTAGTAAGTCAAGGAAAAACCCTCAAAAATAAAAGAATAAAAGATCCTTTACACTGCTGGTGGGAATGTAAACTACTATAGCCATGATGGAAAACAGTCTAAAGGTTGCTCAAAAAATTTAAAAATGGAACTACCGTATGATCCAGCAATTCCACTGTTGGGAATTCGTCTACAGAAGAGGAAATCAGTATATTAAAGAGATCACAGTAGCCAAGATATGGAATCAACCTAACTGTCCATCAACTGATGAATGCATAAAGAAAATGTGACAGATATGCACAATACAATACTATTCAGGCATAAAAAAAGAATGAAATCCTGTCATTTGTGGCAACATGGATGAACCTGGAGGAAATTATATTAAATGAAATAAGTCAGGCACAGAAAGATAAATACGGCATGTTCTCACTTATATGAAAGGGCTAAAAAATTTCAACTCACAGAAATAGAATTTTGGTTATTAGAGGCTGAGAAAGGATTGCAAGAGGTAAGGATGGGGAGAAGTTGGTCAATGGATACAAAATTACAGCTAAAGGGGAAGAATAAGTCTTGTGTTATGTAGCATTGTGGGGTGAATATAGTTAACAAAAATTTATTGTGGGATTACACACCTGTAATCCCAGCACTTTGGGAGGCTGAGTCGGGTAGATCCCTTGAGGTCAGGAGTTCGAGACCAGCCTGGCCAACATGGTGAAACCCTGTCTCTCTTAAAAATACAAAAATTAGCTGGATGTGGTGGCACATGCCTGCAATCTCAGCTACTCAGTAGGCTGAGGCAGCAGAATCGCATGAACCCGGGAGGCGGAGGTTGTAGTTACCTGAGATTGCACCACTGCACTCCAGCCTGGGCAACACAGTAAGACTCTGTCTAAAACAAAATTTATTGTGTATGTTCACAAAGCTAGAAAGGATTTTGAATGTTTTTAACACACATGATAAGTGTTTGAAGTGATAGATATCTTAGTCAACCTGATTTGATTATTACACATTATATACATATATCAAAATATCACTATATACTGTACAAATATGTATAATTACTACATGTCAACTAAAAAGAGGAACAAATAAGTATACAAATCTTAAGTTGTACAACACAACGAATATTTAACACACAAGTATAAATACTCAAAAAACCACACAAGTTAACATATAGAACATTTTAAGCACTTCATGAGTCTTCCTTGTGTCCCTTCCCAGTTTATACCCCCAACCAAAGATAATCATACTTCTCAACTCTCATCAGCATATATTAGTTTTCTTATTTCTGTATTTTATATAAATGGAGGTCCTGTTTTGTATCTAACATCATGTATTCAACATTATGATTGTGGGATTCATCAAATTTTTGTTGTTTGTTTTTTTCGTTGCTTCATGTTAGTCTCATGTATGAATTTGCAAGTGTTTCTTTGTTTTCTTTTCATAGACATTTGATTTGTGTGGAGTGTTGGACAATTATGAATAAAGTTGCTTTGTGCCTTTTTTAAAAAAACAAAAAACAAAAAAAACCCATGACTTTCGATGGACAAAGCATTTACTTACTTGGGAATATGTCCGGGGGTGTAGTTACTGATATTCCAAAGTGGCTGTACCAATTTATACTCCCAGTCAGCCATATATAAAGTTCTTGTTCATCCACATCCTCACCAATAGTAACACTTGTTAGTCTTTTAATTTTAACCATTATTGTAAAGATATAATGGTATCTGGCTGTGGTTTTAATTTGTGGTTTCTTGATGACCAATGATTTTGAACATCTTATATATTTGTTGGACATTTGGATATCTTTCATGAAGTGTTTGTTTACATCTTTTGACCTTTTTGTGATAGTGGCACAATCATGACCCATTGCAACCTCAAACTCATGGGCTCAAGCCCACCTTGGCCTCCCAAGTAGCTGGGGCTACAGGCATGTACCACCACGTTTGACTAATTTTTAAAATCTTTTTTGTAGACAGGGCCTCACTGTGTTGCCCAGGCCCAGTGTCTGCCACTTGCTTGTTTTCTTGTCTGAAACTCTTGGCCTCAAGTGATTGATCCTCCCACCTCAGCCTCCCAAAGTGCTGGAATTACAGACATGAGCCACTGTGTCCAGCCAGCTCATCTTCGAATAATACCGGTTTTACTTCTTCCTCTTAATTTTTATTTTATTTTATTTTTTTGAGACGGAGTCTCGCTCTGTTGCCCAGGCTGGAGTGCAGTGGCGTGTTCTCCACTCGCTGCAAGCTCCGTCTCCCGGGTTCACGCCATTCTCCTGCCTCAGCCTCCCGAGTAGCTGGGACTACAGGCACCAGCCACTGCGCCTGGCTAATTTTGTTTTTGTATTTTTTTTAGTAGAGACGGGGTTTCACTGTGTTAGCGAGCGTGGTCTCGATCTCCTGACCTCGTGATCTGCCCGTCTTGGCCTCCCAAAGTGCTGGGATTATAGACGTGAGCCACTGCGCCCGGCCCCTTCTTAATTTTTGTACTTTTTCCCCCTTTTTCTTGCTTTATTGTATTGACTAGGACCTCTGATACATTGTTGATTAGAGGTGGTGGTGGAGGACATCCTTGTCTTTTTACCAAACTCAGGACAAAAAAGGATTCATAATTGTGCCATTAAGTAATTTGCTAGGGTTTTGTTTGGTTGGTTGTTTTGGGTTTTTTTTGGGGGTGGGGTGGGAATACCTTTTATCAGACTAAGGATATTCTTTTCTAATTTGTTGGGAGGTTTCTATTTTTGTTTTTTGAATTTATGAATAGGTGTTGAGTGTTGTCAAGTGCTTTTCTTGCAGACTTGTTTTCTATTTTAAGGACACAAGAAGCGAACCATGCAGCCAGTGTCTGCCACTTGCTTGTTTTCTGTAATGTGAAACTTAATATTAAAGTAAAATAGAGATAATGTTCTTATATTATTAAATTGGACTGATACAGTCTCATTTCTTTTTATAGTTTATGGTTAGGAACTGTAGAATTATGTATCACTGTTAAAAATCTCCCTCCAAGTTCCCCTTTTTTTGGGTTTTATATATCCACAATATCTTTGTGTTGGTGGTGGGGGACTTCACAGTGCCTTCAGAGTACACAAGTGAGAAACAGATGCAATTGAATCTCAAATGAAACTGAATTGTGTACTTGTTGCTGGGAAACTAATCTTTAATAAATTTTAAAATAGTCTTTAATGAATATTTAATCAGATTATTTTACTTTTTAGCTCTTATTCTAAATATGGGAGAATTGTCTGTTTAATTAAAGCCAATAATTTTTATTGGAATTACCTGGGGAAAATGCACATTTTCAGTTATTAAAATTGGAAGAGACTTTTGTAGGTCTTAATTTTCTGAGTTTTGTTTTAGATGATTTAACATAGATTATCTCTATGTTTTAAAATAATGTTTGGTTAAACGAAAATTAGTTTAGGCTAGGGGCAGTGGCTCACGCCTATAATCCCAGCACTTTGGGAGGCTGAGGCAGATGGATCACCCGAGGTCAGGAGTTCGAGACCAGCCTGGGCAACACCATGAAACCCCACTCTACTAAAAATACAAAAATTAGCCGGGCGTGGTGGTGCATTCCTGTAATCCCAGCTACTCAGGAGGCTGAGGTGAGAGTATCACTTGAACTCGGGAGGCAGAGGTTGCAGTGAGCCGAGATCGCGCCATTGCACTCCAGCCTGGGCAACAAGAGTGAAACACTCCATCTCAAAAAATAAAAAATAAAAATAGTTTGAAAGAATTTGCTTTACTGTGAACATTTGTCTAAAAAGCGCTTGAAGACAAAATGCTACTGAAATTACTAATTTCAATGGCATTTTGTAGGTTCGTGCTGCTATTAATTGCAATAGTTTACTTTTTGTAGTGTTTTGTAGTTTACAAAATGTTTTCCCAGAGTTTACCTTTTCTTTTTCTTTTTTCTTTTATGAGACAGTGTCTCACTCTGTTGCCCAGGCTGGAGTGCAGTAGTGCAGTGTCAGCTCACTGCAGCCTACGCTTCCTGGGCTCAAACAATCCTGTCTGTCTCAACTTCTCCCATGGCTGGGACTACAGGGGCATACCACCACGCCTGGCTAATTTTTGTATTTTTTGTGAAGGTAAGATTTTGCCATGTTGGGCAGGCTGGTCTCGAACTCCTAGACTCAAGTGATCCACCTGCCTTGGCTTCTCAAAGTGCTAGGATTATAGGCTTGAGC